GCATGGAGAGGATGGGAGAGGCAGTGATGAGGCTGAGGTGTGGCACCATTAGTCAGGACTTGGTAGGATGCTTAAAGGCTGTGGGGATTCACTGGAGGGATGCAGGAGGGTGAATGCTCACTTGGACTGCTGTGGGGAGGTAGAGTTAGGGTTGACATGAGGATGCTGTCAGTGGAGGTGATGAGCATGAATGGCGTCTGGAATTATTTAGGCAGCTGTGTACGAAACATGTGACAAGACAGAAGTGGGAGTGGATTCAGATAATGAGCAGTTCAGGAATTTGGACCGTTTCATTCTCTTGTCCCTTAAAGCCTTCCCTAACATATATTGACATCCACATTCCTGATCTGGCCTGGATGTTCTCTGATCTGTGAAACCTCTGAATGCCCTTTAAAAACTTTTAATCACATTTAATTTATTTTGAGCATGTATGTGTATGTGTGTATATAGGTACATGCATGTGACTGTACATAAGTAGAGGCCAGAGGTTAACTTTTAAGAGTCAGTTTTCTCCTGTGTATTGTCAGGCTTGGCAGCAGGTGCCTTTACACACTGAGCCATTCAGAAGGGCCTTCTGGATGCCCTTTCATGACATCCCATGGCACAAGATTTTATCTCCTCTATCACCCATTTTCAATTCTCCCTTGTGGGTTAGTGATTTACAAGGGTCTCTGTGCCCTTTGTTGCATTGCATGCCCACAAAATTAGCCACTGATCTCTTTGAGTATATGAGACCAAATACTATCTATTTAAAAATGTCAAAGTTGCCAGGCTGTGTGTGCATGCATGCGTACACATTCTTTTAAAAAACTTTTTAATTTAAAAAATATTTTACTTATTTTTATTTTATGTGTATGAGTGCATTGCCTGCATCTATGCAAGTGCACCCATGTCGTGCAGTGCCCATGGAGGTCAGAAGAGGGCATCAGATTCCCTGGAACTGGAGTTACAGATGGTTGTTAGCTCCAATGTGGGTACTGGGAACCGAACTTGGGTCCTCTCTGCAAGAGCAGCCAGTGCTCTTAACTGCTGAACCATCTCTCTAGCCCCAGCATGCACACACATTCTTGCATGCTTGCATGCCACAGAGCATATGTGGAGGTCAGAGGACATCTTGCAGGAGTTGGTTCTCTTCTTCCACCATGTGGGTTCTGGGAATTAAACTCAGGTTGCCAGGCTTGACTGCAGGTTCCTTTACCTTCTGAGCCATCTCATCAGTTCCCTTTTATCTTTTTGGGGGCGTATTTTTGAGACAGGGTCTCCCTGTAGCCCCAGCTGCCCTGGAACTCACTATGTGAACCATACTGGCCTTGAACTCACAGAGTTCTGCCTCTGTCTCCTGAGTACTGGGATGAAAAGCACACGCCACTGTGCCTGGCTCCTCCTTTACTCCTTTATCATTTAAATTTTTTCTTTATTATTTTTATTTTCTGTGTATGAGTGTAATGTCTACATGTAGGGTAGTGCACCCACGTCATGCAATGCCCTCAGTGGTCAGAAGAAGGTGTCGGATCCCTTGAAACTAGAGTTACAGATGGTTGCTAGCTGCTGTATGGGTGCTGGGAATCGAACCTGGATCCTCTGCAAGAGCAGTAAATGTTCTTAACCCCTGAGCCATCTCTCCAGCCCCCATTCTTTATCTTTTATAGATGATGCTTAGTAATCATTTTTGCTTGTGTGTGTATGCATATGATACAGGGCACAAGAACCTAAGATTACCAACTGAGGCCAACAGATTCTCTCAGTTAAGACTGTATAGGCTAAACATGCCTTTAGAACTTCGTTTTAAAGTTCTTTGAGGATAATGGCTCGGACATCAAAGGAGTAAGAGAAACTTTGGGGAAACCAGTGGTGCTTTAGGATAATTTTGCAAAATATGTCTTCTGGTTTGATTTTTGTTGCTGTGATGAAATACCCTGACAAAAGCAACCTTAAGGGAGAAAAGATTTATTTGACTTATAATTCCAGATTACAGCCCATCATTGTTGGGAAGTCAAGGCAGGAACTCGGAACGACCAGCCACATCTACAGTCAGGACAGAGAGTGACGCGTGCATGCCTGTTTGCCACTCACATGCGTGTACCCTGTACTCTGCTTTCTCTTCTTTTATACAGTCCGGGACCCAAACCCCAGGAATGATGCTGTTCACTTTAAGGCTGGGTTTCCCCATATCAGTTAACATAATCAAGACAATCCTCCACAGACATGCCCACAGACCAACCCAATCAAGACAATCCCTCACGGAGACTCTCTTCCTAAGTGATTCTAGATTTTGTCAAATTTACAATGAAAATTAACTAACCATCACAATAACCATGATTTTTGCTCTTAAAGTTCAATATGAAATAATTTTGTAGGAAAATTCTAATCTCTGCCACCCGGTGAGCTTTAAAACTGATTGACTGATCATTTGATTCAATCTTTGTTCATTTCAAGAGCAATTAAATATTGTTTTTATTATCTGGGTTTTGGCAAATTAAAGTTAGGCATATTTTATCCAGGCGTGATTGTGGAGGGCTGTAATCCTAGCACTGGGAGTGGGGATCACAAGTTGGAGGTTAACGTGGGCCACATAGTGAGACCTTTTCTCAAAAAATGAAGCATCAATAACAAAACAGCATATTTTAAAAATAAAAAAATTCTCCAATATTTTTATTGTGGTATCATAAAATTTGTCATTTTAAATATTTTAAAATGTGCAGTTCAGTGATATAAAATACATTCCTGCTCTTGCAATGATTACCACCATGGCTTTCTAGAATTCATTTTGCAAAACCAATACTCTTCCATTTAACAGTAATTCCCCCTTCTTCCTTTCCCTAACCTCTGACAACCTTCTGTCTTTGCTTCTGACTACTTCTGGGTACCACCTTTAAGGGGAACAGCAGCATTTGTTCTTTCATGAATGCCTTATTTCATTTAGCATACTATCCTCAAGGTTAATCCATGTTGATGTATCAGATATATCAGAATTTCTTTTAAGACTAAATAGCTGTATGTATACCCCACATTTTCCTTATTCATTCATCTGTTGACAGACACTCTGCTTGCTTCTGTATTGTGTGAATATGCTGTAACATGAGTGCACAAACACCTCTTTGAGATCTTGCATCCCTTTCAATTTTTTTTTTTAAGCAGGTGGGTAAACCCAGAAGTAGAATTGCTGGATCTTTAAATTTTTTAGGCAATCACCATATTGTTTTCACAGAAACTTTTTACTATTGACATCCTTATCAACAGTGCACAAGGGTTCCAATTTCTCCACATCCTCCAGCATTTATTTTGTGTTTTCTTTTTCTTTTTTAGTTGTTTAATGGATGTTAGGTGATATCGCTATAGATTTGATTTGTGTCTCCTTAATAGTGATTTCAAGCATTGTTTTATGTGTTTTTTGGCCACTTGACTATCTTCTTTGGTGAAATCTCTACTCATATAATTTGTCTATTTTTGAACTGAATTGTTCCATTCTTGTTTTGAGTTTTGAGAGTTCTCTGTATAATCTCTTATCAGATACATGATTTGCAAATATTTTCTCTAATTCTATAGATGGCTCTTTCACTCTATTGGTAGTATCCTTTGATGCACAGAAAAGATTTTATTTTATTTTGTTATTATTATTGTTTTGAGACAGGTTTTCACTGTGTAGCCCTGGCTGGCCTGGAACTCGCTATGTAGATCAAACTGGCCTTGAACTCACAGAGATCTACCTGCCTCTGCCTCAAGAGGCTGGGATTAAAGGCATGAACCACCACTCCTGCACGGTTTTAACTCTTACCAAATTCAATTTGTTTATTTTTATTGTTGTTGCCTGTCAAAGTATTAATCAAGTCTATTTTTCTTCCATTAGTTACTATAAATTTTTGTCCTTATTTAACAAGTAAGACATCATGTATACAGACATAGATATGTGCATTTAGAAGAGAAGTAAGTCCACCTCATAATGGAACCTTTAGAGTAAACAAACTAGTATCTAATATTTATATCATAAATAGTTTCTCAAGCTTGCCGTAGAGGTGGGGAGGGTAAGAAAAGGTGAAAGGACCCACTTAAAGAAAAGATGGGCCAGATGGAATGCTTGTTTTCTTTCTTACGTAAATGACTTTTCAGAGAGATTAGACTCCTCAGTAGTCATATATGTGCTATGTTCTGCATGACTGGGTGGTGGTGGATACAGAAGATGGCCAGCATGGTATAAAATAAATAAAATACTACATGAGACATTTTAACATTAAAGAAAGTGGGGGAACCAGGTGGTCCCCTGTCCCAAAGGACAAAGGGCTCTGAGTTTCTAGCCCCCAGAGTTTTCATTAGCATGGATGGGGTGCTCTAAGGAGGTGTTCAGGAACGAATTTGGGCAGATCAAAGGACATTTCTCTGCAGGGGCTCTGGAAACTACTTACAACAAAATGCGGTTTGTTTACAGGGTGTAGAGCAAATGGTCACAAAACAGTGTAAATTTTATTTTTATGTGTAAATTTTTATTTATGTGTATGAGTGTATTACCTGTAGGTATGTGAGTGTACCTGTGTCGTGCAATGCCACGGGGGTCAGAAGAGGGCTTCGGATTCCCCTGGAACTGGAGTATTTTATGTGTATGAGTGTATTACCTGCAGGTATGTGAGTGTACCTGTGTCGTGCAATGCCACGGGGGTCAGAAGAGGGGTTTGGATTCCCCTGGAACTGGAGTTAAGGACAGTTCATAGCCGCCATGTGGGTGCTGGGAATCGAACCCGGGTCCTCTGCAAGAACAGTCAGTGCTCTCAACTGCTGAGCCATCTCTCCAGCCCCAGGTATAACATTTTTATCCAATTCAAACATAAGGGGCACTGCTTCAGAGCCCGCATATGCGCACATGCCTATCTGGCTATCCAGTCATAAGAATTCTTGGCTAGTGGTGACTTTGCCCTATGCCAAGCATGCTTTAGAAGAGTTCAAACAGGGCAGTGGTCTCCAACCTAAATGTACTGTAAATGTTGACTCTTCTCACCTTTGCTTTTTAGGCTGCAGGTGGCTATCTTGTGGTGGTGTTTGTGTATGTAATGGAATTCATTGGCAAGAAGTCTCGAACATGGGCATCCATCCATCTACATACCTTCTTTGTCATTGGAATAATGTCAGTGGCTTTACTAGGCTATTTGGTCAGAACCCAGTGGCTTTATCAAATTATCCTCTGCACAGTGACTGTTCCCTTCATCGTATGCTGTTGGATGCTCCCAGAGACTCCTTTTTGGCTTCTTTCAGAAGGAAGATACGAAGAAGCACAAGGATTAGTCAATACAATGGCTGTATGGAATAAATCTAGCTCTTGTGATCTGGTACAACTTTTATCACTGGATGTAAATAAATCTCTTGTTAAAAATCCTTATGCAACTAAGAAGCACAGACTAGCAGATTTGTTTCATAACCATGAAATTACAAAAATGACTCTCATTATTTGGCTGGCTTGGTTCATGGGGTGTTTGGGATTCTACACTTTTACCTTGGACTCTCTTCTGCTAGAAAAACATGAATACTTACACCTCTTCCTACTGAGTAAGCAATTAAATCTGTACTTAATTATGACATCAAAGTAAACATTCTATGATGTTTTTGGCATGTTTTTATTATCTATTAAAACCAGGAATAATACTCCTAACCATATTATTATGATATCTTTTAGTGTTATTGCTCCTTAAGAAATGTGTACATTTTCATCTGAAAAAAGACAGCAGTAATAAGAACGTAGATCTCCTTCTTTTTCTCCCCACTTTCCTTCATCCCTTACCTATAGTAGCTTCTAGAATGTTTGGCTTGTACATACTCAACTCTCTTTCTATGCCTCTATATATTTAGTTATGCAAATGTTCTATGTTGTGACATGGCTGATATGTTCACTCAAATTGTTCTTGCTAAGTTGCTTTTCTTTTGATGTAATACTCCTTAAGATCTTCCAAATACCCTGAATTTAGAAATTTTAGTTGGTAAAATAGCTTTAATGTATGCAGCTATGATTAATGCTGTCATGTATGGTTAATTTTAAAGATATTTTATCTATTATTATTTTACGTGTATGAGTGTACTGCCTACATGTATGTAAGTGCACCCATGTCATGTGATGCCCAGGGAAGTCAGAAGAGAGTGTCAGATCCCCTAGAACTGGAGTTACAGATGGTTGTTAGCTGCCACGTGGGTGCTGGGAATTGAACCCAGTCCTCTACAAGAGTAGCCAGTGCTCTTAACCACTGAGCCATCTCTCCAGCCCCCATGTCTATATAATTTTAATAGCAAGTTAAAATGACTTTAAATAACCCAAGCTATAACTCCTGGGGTAACAAAATGTGAACTAAATGGAGTGGAAAGAGATTGATCAGAAATAGTATTTAACCATCTAATCTGAATTGTTTGTTCTTGTGTGAGCTGCCTTTATATTATCCTCAGAAAATCTTGCTTTTTCATTTTTTAATGCATAAATATCATACTTTCTCACCAAAGCATATTGATGACATATCTCTTTTTGTTTATTATCACTCAGTGGGAATTATGAGAGGATTGATTTTAAGAAGAAAAAGTACATTTTTGGGCAAACTAGCGAGTCTCTTAGAAGAGCCCACCTAAACTCCACACTCATTGTGAATGTCAATTTGAGAAATGATGCAGTTTTCCTAGAGGAGAGCAGCAATGGCAGGAGAAGCAGGTGGGGTGCAGTGTGTGTGTGAAGGAACTAGGAAGCTGGAGGCTCAGCTCTTCATGATAAAGATTCTTAATTTCAGTGGCCTGTGAGTCAGCTTTCTATCACTATGGCAAAACACCTTAAGTAATCAGCTTATAAAGAGAAAAAGATTCACTCTGACTCACAGATTTGGAGGTTTTAATTCATAATCAGTTGGCCTTGTTTCTGCCTGTTGTTGAGACAGTACATCATGTGTGGCAGGACTGTGTGGTAGAACAAAGCCTTTCACGTTATGACCAGGAAGCATATGGGGGGTAGGGGCTGGGTGCCACAGTGCTCTTCAATGGCTCCACTCCCCAGGGGTCTGAACTTCCCATTCATGCCATCCTGAGGACATGTGGACCTTGGGGAACTTCTACTATCTAAACTATAGCAAGTGTAGATTTAAATTCTCAAGGAACAGTCAGGGCAAAGTGGTGTAGGCCAGTAGTCCCAAGTACTCAGGAGACTGAGGTGGAAGGGTCATGCGCTCAGGAGTTTGAGACCAAATTGGGAAAAGTGAGATTCTGTCTTAAGCAATGAGTCTTACTATCAAGAAATTGGATGACTCCATATCTATAAACATGTCCACAGCCAAGGACACGTGGTTTTATCTACCTGTTGTTTGTGGAATTCGTGCCCTTACTCCTCTCACTACAGCCATTGCTGGTGGCTGTTTCTAGTCAGTTCTTCTCTGCTGTGAATTTTTGGAACAGCTTTGCATCACCTGAGATAGTTTGAGGCTGGTGGGAATGTCAGCTCCGGTTTTGGGCCACGTGTAGGTGCTAAACGCTTCAACAGCTCCAAGACCTACTTTTGGGATTATGTGATGAGAAGGGCAATGGGGTGGGGTCTGAGTTTCCTCAAGAGATGACATATCAAGAAGTAATGTCACATTGTCCCAGTTCCAAAAGGGCTGGGCTTCCTTGCTTGAACCATTTACATCCCAGCCAAAGTCAAGTCAAACATAGACATATTATCAGCTGGTACAACTGAAGACAGTGGAAGCTCATTTTAAATATCTCTTCTGCCATTTCAAATTGCTGCCTAGCTTTACAAGTCTCCCAGAACCTGGTTGGTGTCCTATATCCAGTCTTGTGTGACAAGCCCTGGGTGGACATGGCAGTGTGGTAAAAGGGCAGGGAAAGCTGCAGGAAAGGGACAGGGCCTCATGAAGATCCCACTTGCAGGCTCTGAGCTGTCATCATTCAAGTGGTATAAATCATTAATCTTAGTTGTAAAGTGGGGATGATAATTGAGGCCTTTTCCCAGGAAGGTTTTTTTTTTTTTTTTTTTTTTTTTTTTTTTTTTTGGTGTGTATGTATGTGGTACTGAGATCAACAGGGACTTGTACATGCCATGTAAGTGCTCTGCCACTGAGCTATGTCCACATCTCTTTTAAAAATTTTCTTTTATTTTTATCTTACATTGTATGAGTGTCTTGCTTGCATGTATGTAAGTGCACCTATGTCATGCATTTCCCATAGAGGCCAAAAGAGATTGTTGGATCTCCTAGAACTAAAGCTATGGGTGGTTATTAGCTGCCATGTGGGTGCTGGGAACCAAACCAAGGTCCTCTGCAAGAGCATCCAGTGCTCTTAACCAAGAGCCATTTCTCCAGTCCCCACATCTCTTTTTAAAATACTTTTATTTAAATTTTTTCTTGCATTTATTTACGTGAGTCTATGTGTGTATATGTATTTGTATGTGTGTGCGCATGTGTGTTGTGTGTATGTGTGTGTGTGTGTGTTGTGTGTGTGTGTGTGTGTACATGTCTGTGTGTCTCTGTGTGTCTGTGTGTGTGCGTGCCACAGGGTGCACGTGGAAGTCAGAGACTTTTGGGAGTTGGTTTTCTCATTCCATCTTGTAGGTTCCAGGGATTGAATTCAGGTTTTCTTGCTTGGCAGCAAGTGCCCTTACCCACTGAACCATCTCACTGGCTCCTAAGATGTTATCTTGAGACAGGAGCTCTTGCCCAGGCTGGCTTTGAACTCACTCTGTTCTGAAAGCAAGCCTTGAACTTGTATCTTCCTGCCTTTTCCCAATTACAGGCCTGTGCTGCCAGGCCAGGCTCCAGGAGGCTCTTTCGAAGGTCTTCTTTGACCGTGAAAAGTTCATAATGAACTCTAATGCAACAGAATAATAGAAGTGTGTGCTGTCTTGGACAGCTAGTGTGGTGACAGCGGGTCCTCTGACAGGGAATGCTTCTTTCAGAGGTGGCTGCTTTTCAGTTAATGGAGTGTGGATGATTCTCTCTGAGGAGTTTCAAAGTTAATGTTTTCCTTTTCCCAAGATAATTAAAAAAAAAATTTTTTTTTTAAATTACTTTTTTTTGGTCTTTTTGTGACAGGGTTTCCCTGTAGCCCCAGCTGTCCTGGAACTCACTATGTAGACCAGGCTGGCCTTGAACTCACAGAGATCCGCCTGCCTCTGCCTCCTGAGTGCTGGGATTAAAGGCGTGCGCCACCTTTTATTTATTATTTTTTTAAAATTTATGTGTATGAGTGTACTGCCTGCATGTAAGTGAGCGCACCCATGTCATGCAATGCCGTAGGGGTCAGAAGAGGGCTTTGGATTTCCCTGGAACTGGAGTTAAGGACGGTTCGTAGCCATCATGTGAGTGCTGGGACTCAAATCTGGGTCCTCTGCAAGAGCAGTCAGTGCTCTTAACCGCTGAGCCATCTCTCCAGCCCTGATAATTTAAAAAATTTTAAATCATATTTATTTATTTATCGTGAGGGGTGGGGTTGTGCACATACCGAAGCCTGCATGTGAGAGTCAGAGGACAATGTGCAGAGAAGTCGGTTCTCTTTCTCCAGTGTGTGGGTCCCTGAACTCATGTCATCAGGCTTGGCAGCAATGGAGTCATCTCTTCGGACCTGTTTTCACACTTATACAGTTGTTTTCACGATAGTTATTTATCTTCAATGATAACCACTTCTGCATTCCTAGTTTTTCTTTTTTTAAAATATTTTTTATTTTTTATTCTTTTTATTATTTTTAATTGAATTTTTGAATATTTCATGCAAAAAATCGTCTTTATATCCCCTTCCCCCTCCCCCTTTGACACCCTCCCATGCCACTGGAGTTCACACATTCTGTCATTTGTGTTAAGGCCTATTATGATTATATAAAGTTAGTGTCCCGAGATGTCCCTCAGTGCAAGTTCATCGACCAGGTCTTAGCCTATCTAGAGCATCTCCCTTCAAGAAGATCAGCTTTTCCTCAACCAGCAGAAATCAGCTGCCAATAATTCTTCGACTAAGATTAGAGCTTGCTGTTCATTTCCACAGTTCTGTGCTGGGCTTTCATCTGCCTAAGTTTGTATGCATCTTGTGCATGCTGACACTATTGCTGTAGGTTTGTATGAGAAGGGTCCCAGGCATCTGTAGGACCATTTCTGTATGGTCCTGCACCTCCTCCCTGGCTCTTACAATCTTTCCGCTCCCTCTTCCACAGTGGTCACTGGGCCCTGGGTGGGTGCACCTCAATGTAGGAGTCCTGTCCAAGGACCCACACTCTGTAGACTCTTATTCTCTCCATTTTGGACATTTGTGGCTTATTTGTGTTCCTGGACCTCTGTTGCATGAGGGAGCTTCATTGATGAGACCTGAAAGATGCATTATTGTTCTCTTCATCCCTTGTTCCATGTTCCCTGAGTCTTAGGTGTAGAGGTTGTATCCTAGATGTGCCACTTAGGCTTGGGCAATTCACAGAGATTCTCTGTGTGTGACCAGTGGTGTAACTCTGCAGTAATCTCTGTCTGTTTAAAAAGAAGTTACTTTGATGGGTGGTGACTGGGGTACTTGCCTATAAATTTAAGGATCCATATTTTGTACATGGT